AGCATCCGTTCTTTGGAGTTCAGCTTTCTTTAGAGTCCAGTTCTCACATCCATACATGACTACTGAAAAAAACCATAGCCTTGACTAGATGGACCTTTGTTGGCAAAGTAATGTCTCTGCTTTTTAATATGTTGTCTAGGTTGGTCATAACTTTTCTTCCAAGGAGCAAGCGTCTTTTAATTTCATGGCTGCAGTCACCATCTGCAGTGATTTTGGAGCCCCAAAAAATAAACTCTGCCACTGTTTCCACTGTTTCCCTATCTATTTGCCATGAAGTGATGGGACCGGATGCCATGATTTCAGTTTCTTTGTTAACTCCGTAGAATAGAGTAACACCACCCCTTCATTTAAACACTCTCTTCCATTTTCATTTTTTCCCCAGGGCATTTAGCATGATCTATTATGCCTTCTATCCAACCATCCATTTATCTATCCTCTCTCCCCAACTAAAATGTCATAAAGGGTGTTTTTGTCTCTTTTTGTTGTATCTTCCAGAAATAAAACATAGAGCAAAGACTCAGTAAACAGTTGTTGGATATGGGAATTGTACATTACTAGAAAAGTCAGTTCCTTAAAAACAAAACCCGGTCTAAAGTAGGAACTTGATGTTTGAACGAATGAGGAAATAGAAGAGTAAATGACAGACCCAGGGAGCAGAGGTGAATTGGGAGACTGGAATTAACAAACCTACACTATTGGTTACTGTCGTTTTTTATTCACTACGTTGTGTCCAACTCTTTTGCGACCCCATGGACTGCAGCCCAACAGACTCCTCTGTCCGTGAGGATTCTCCAGGCAAAAATACTGGAATGGGGTGCCATTTCCTTCTCCAGGGGATCTTCCTGAGCCAGGGATCAAACCCATGTCTCCTGCATTAGCAAGCGGATTGTTTACCACTGAGGCATCAAGAAAGCCCACACTACTGATACTACATATGAGACATAAGTAATAAGAACCTTCTGTATAGCCCAGGGAACTCTACTCAGTGCCCTGTGGTGACATAAATGGGAAGGAAATCCAAAAAAGAGGGGAGATATATATACACATATAGCTGACTGACTTTGTTGTATGGTAGAAATTAATACAACATTGTAAAGCAAGTATACTCCATTAAAAATTTTTTTAAAAGACAGGCCAGCCTTACATGTAATTTTATACAAATAAACTGATTAACATAAAAGCAAGGGCTTTACTATTTGGGAACCAGACATAACAGTTAAAGTAACTTATTCAGGGGTGCACAGCAAAAGGAAAGTAATACATTTAGGTATTAAGACTTCAGTCCAGTCCTTGACTTTATGTGGCAGTGTCCCTGCATGTTCTGAGGCCCGACACGTCAGAACTCATCTGCATTCTGTTGCTTCCTTCAAATGCTCTTACCTACGAGGCTTCAAGTTAATAAACTCCAAATTTATTTTTGAAAGAAAGTCCACAGAAGTCTTGAAAGCCTTTACCTTATTTATTCAGATGTATAAAAAGTAAATACACGGGGGAAGAGAGATCATTATCTGCCCTTTAAAATACATGCTGAAGCAGTCCTGCACCTAGGGGATGCTGGAGGGATGGACCGAGAGAAGCTTCGAGTCCACCGTCCCCAGCACTGCTCAGCCACCAGCCAGGGCAGCTGCAGACAACCGCCTTGGGTACCAGGTCCACAAACGGAAGACATCTCTACTGTGGTGGGGTGGCTACCCCGTGCGGGGTGGAGGGACTGGTGGGGGGAGAACCAGAACAACTGTGCAAGCGGCTTGGCATGGAACAGCAGAACGGCAACTCTTTCATTTTGCCAAGTGTGACTGCAGTCCTGCTGCTCACACACCCGCACAGCCGGCCAGGCCGCTCGCCGCAGCGAGTGTCCCCTCCTCCTGCCGCCGTTTGGGGAAGCGAGCAGGTGCTGTGTTTTGTTCACACTTGGAATCAGCTTTCTAGGAATCCTCTCAGTGGCACATAGCTGGGCAGGAGTGCGCCCCAGTGGTTAGGAACACGGACCTGCACAACGGGCTGCCAGGGTTTAAACCTTGCCTCCGTGACTCTGTGTCCCTACGGACATGGCACCAACCCTTTCTAAGACTCCATCTCCTCATCTCCAAAAAGTCCGCTTGCTATTCTTAGATAATGCAGGAAAAGCATCTAATGTAGTGCCTTGGCACACAAGACCTTAACACATATTATAGTAACTATTATTATACTACTAGCCATTATAGTATTCTTGACTTTAAAAAAATCACTGGGATTTCTCAGGTGGTGTAGCAGTTAGGACTCCAGTCTCCCAATGCAGGGAGCACAGGTGTGATCCCTGGTCAGAGAACCAAGACTTCCCAGGCTGCCCAGCATAGCCAAAAAAAAAAAAAAAAAATCACTGTTCAAAACTAATCACCTGTCTTCCTCTTGAGTTTAGACAGGGGTTTACCATTTATTTCGAGCCAAGAGTCTGCCTGCAGTTCGGGAAAACTGCCACCAGAAAGATGCTGCGACCAAGTTTTTCCAGGTATGGCTAGCAAATACAAACTCATTTAAAGACTTTCTCCTCAACCCTAGCCCTGAATAAAAAATATATATTATTTGGTATTGGAGAGCATAACAGAAGTGTTAGGCAAATGTGACTATGTGTGATATTTAAATAGGAAGATCAATGTGACATTTTAAAATATACAGGTAGGCAGGTATGTGTGGGGTTAACTAGGTATTTTTCTACCAAATTTTTAGCTGATAGAAATCACTAATTAATCCAATACCTTATATTGCCTCAGTGCTTGAAAAATGAAATAAAACAAAACCTCTTTTTTTAAATTTCTCCTTGTCACAATAATCAAGGACAGACTTTAGAAGCACTAAGTGAATTTTACTAAATCATACAAGAGTTAGTCTCACAGGTGGAGATTTGGATCAGTACTTTGGGGAGGGAGCAGGTATTTGCATTCTGCAAAAGCTTCCTGTGAATCCCTAACGCCAGCATCTGTGGTTGGCAAATATCTGTCCAGAAACTCTTTTGGCAAGAAGACTTTTTGCCTTAAAAACACTGTTAACATCTCTTGATCTTGTAGCCTGCTCCTTAAGCAGGACGTGGCAAGTCAAAATCCAGCAAAGAGTCAGTGCCCACTTACTCCGCAGAGCTTAAAATCAGTACAAACTGGACTTCCCTGGTGGTCCAGTGGTTAAGAATCTGCCTGCCATGCAGAGGACACAGGTTCGATCCCTGGTCTGGGAAGATCGCACGTGCTGTGGAGCAACTAAGCCGCTGTGTCACAGCTACTGAGCTCAAGCTCTAGAGCCCGTGCTCCGAGACAAGCCACCTCTACGAGAAGCCCAAGCACTGCAACTAGAGGAGCCCCCCTCGCCACAACTAGACCCAGCAGCAACGCCTGCAGCAATGAAGACCCAGCACAGCCAAAAATAAAGGAAATGAAATCAGTACAAATTCCTCAAGACCTTGTATAGCAACAAAGGTGCTGCAGAAGCTGGCGAAGCTGGGGTGGAACTGTGTATTTGTTCAGCGGAGCCAAGTGAATGCTTTTCCTTTAGACTAGCGCTGCCCGACAGAGCTTTCTGCCCATGGTAACGGTCTGTGTCTGCATCTTCCCAAAAGGGAGTCACATGAACATCTGAAGTGGGGCTCACGGCTTCTCCTGGACAGCTCTGGACAGAAGCCGGACCCGGCCAGCTTGTAGCCTTCCCAACACCTTGCTATCTGAGGTCTTCGTATCATTACCTCATTCAGTACTTATCTCTCGAGAAGTTCCCTTGTTCCCAGCATGTGGGAGGTGCTGGGGACAGAGAAGGAACACATATATACCCCCTTTCTCACATGCTCATTAATAACAACTGGCCTCATAACTACCACTCATTTGAGATACTTCCTCAAAGAATTTCTGGGTCAAATGTGTTTTTTAAAGTGTGTTATTCTGCAGACATAGAAAACATGATGGTGGTTGCCAAGAAAGGCAGGTAGGAGTGGCACGGAGTGGGAGTTTGGGGTTAGCAGATGCAAACTATTACATATAGGATGGATAAACAACAAGGTCCTACTGCATAGTACAGGGGACTATAGTCAATACCCTGTGATAAACCATAACGGAAAAGAACATGAAAAAGAATATATATATATAAAACACTGAATCACTTTGCTATACAGGATAAATTAACACAACATTGTGAATCAACTATATTTCAATAAAATGCAATAAACAAACAAGTAAATAAAAGCATGCTATTTTGGAGCAAAAAAGCAAACAGTCATAGTTTGAGAAACAATACAGTTCAATGTACTGAAGAAATGAGAGGACATCCAGAGTCTCCACAAGACAAGACAGGAGAACTCACGAAGCTTTTCTAGAACAGCAGCGTAACCTCAATAACAGAGGAACTTGTGTGAACATTATTTCCAAGGAAGGTCGTAAGGTCACCTTGGGCCCTCTGAATGACCAGACAGCCTATTAAGTCGCAGGGGCCACGGCAGGAGGACCAAGGACTTCCCAATAAGAAAACATGTAACCATTCCCACTGAAGACGGCATCAGGAGAGAACCAAACTCATGTATGGAAACGGTAGTTTTAAGCAACTGTCATAAATACTGTAACTATGTGATGATAAAAAGTTTTCAAGGGATTAAGATAGAAAACTAAATGATCAAAAAAATGACTGATAAGATTCCTTTCAAAAAAGCCATCATCACCACCCGTAAAGCAGGAGCCCTGGGTAAGACCATTACTCCTCATGCCAGGTTCTTCCCACGACTCCAGGCAGGCAGCCAGGCTTGGTCAGCTGCCATCAGCAGTGTCAAGATGCTCGCAGTTGCAGGTGCTCAACAGAGCCTCAGGGCAGGTCAAACCCAGAGCAGCTCAACTCCGGTCAGTGACAAATGCTACTAGAAAGGATGAGAACTGGGTGCCCAGGGGGAAGGTTCTCGCCGAAAAGAAGAGAGAGGGGTTTTCAGAGTTGTTGCACTGGGATCATTATTAATAATTAAAGCCAGAACTCAGCTCATTCATCAGCCACCTTACCTAGTTCTGGGGGCAGAACGGTCAGGCGGTTCCCTTGTATGTGGAGCTCCTTAAGCTGAGTAAGCTCCCCGATTTCCTTAGGCAGCGAGATCAGATCGTTATCCCTAAGGCTGAGCTAAATAGAAGAGAAACAAGGGGGTGTCAAAACAATTTTCACATAAAGAGGCGCTCAGCAGAGGCCCTCGTCCTCGCCCTTGCCCTCTCTTCCTCGAAGGCTCAATCCTTCCAATTTATTTACAAAAGTCTGCAGACAAGCAATGAACAGTCTCGGGGAGCAGTGGCTTTTATTCCTGCAAAACAAACCGTACTCCGGCTCAAATTGCCTTGATTCCACTCCTACAAGGGCTGTAGGAGTGAATTGATTTTCTAAGAATTTAGATAAATTACTTACTATCTGCAACTTTGTGAGTTTCCCGATATCTGGTGGCAGGATTTCAAAATCGTTGTCACTTAGATAGAGTGCACGCAGGGTGGCTGCAAATTAAACAGCAATATATAAACAGGGTGGCATGGAACCCAACCATTTGAGGTCTGATCAATACGTGGGAGTCAGCTTTGATTAATAACCCTGGCGTGGTGAAAAGCCTGTGACACACCTAGGGCTCGCGATAATAACCAGCAGGTCAAACTTAGATTTACTAGCTTATTGTGTAGCTGGTGTGTTCAGGAAAATATCTATATCCAAGAGGACTGATATAATTAACAACTCGTGGGCACTGGCAGCTTCTGGCACAGAGTTTCAATACGCTTTCAGAAAAGATAGCTATTTTTCTTCAATTACTTCTGATTCACCTGTATGGCTCGATTTGCATCCAGAGTGAAACCAAGAAAATCACTGTGTCATTTATACAAACGCTCAGGGCAAAAGGGCTCAGCTGTGTAGAGAACTAGGTCAAAAAATAAAGAACCAAAAGGCTTTCTCGTGATGGAGGTCAGAATCATAGTTCATTGCTTCCATCATCAGACTAATTATTATCACTTGTTTCTATAGCCTTAACCACAAAAATAAATGAAGATGAAGGAGTTAAAATAATGCAGTGGAATTTAAAAAGAGAGAAAACCCTAACTTAGGCAGGTTTACAATATTATACAAGGATATCAGTCCCTAAACTACTGAAGGGTAAAACCCTAAGGCATCATTTTATCCTTAACCAAAAGGAGGGAGTATAATTAGATGTAGTTTTATTTGTTTACAGGAATTAAACTACATTCTCATGTCTTAAAATTCAACAGAATTGTATGTCAATGTACATAAGATAAACAGTTTCTCCCATGGCCCATGAAAACATGTTAAAGTTGGTTTCATGGGCCTGACAAAGTCTGGGATAAAGAATATGTGCAGTGTTTAATCTCGCAGTATCTCGTAGTTGTGTCCGACTCTTTGTGACCCCACGGACTGTAGCCCACCAGGCTCCTCTGTCCGTGGGGATTCTCCAGGCAAGAATACTGGAGTGGCTTGCCATGTCCTCTTCCAGGGGATCTTCCCAACCCAGGGATCGAACCCAGGTCTCCCGTACTGCAGGTGATTCTTTACCATCTGAGCCAGCAGGGAAGCCCAAGAATACTGGAGTGGGTAGCATATTCCTTCTCCAGGGGATCTTTCAGACCCAGGAATCAGACTGGGGTCTCCTGCACTGTAGGCAGATTCTTTACCAGCTGAGCTACCAGGGAAGCCCTGATAAAGTATTTATGGAAGGTTAAAAAAAAAAATGAAATTTTACAGAGACTAACTCAGAAAAATCAGAATTTCTGGATGCCAGCTATGTCACTATTTGGAAAAACAACATTCACATAAGGACAACACTCTATCCTAAATATTTTATGAGTTCTTGGAAAAATCACTTTTTCCTACTTTTCACAAGCATCTGCAGTAAGAAATGTGTTTGCATATAAGAGGATAAAGTGTGTTCATCTATGACTGATGATTTCTTAGTCTCTGATGATATGCTATAGATAAAACATTATGTCAATAAGAATACTTTTTAGAAGTCTTATAACAAGAATCCTAGCTAGAAATGTTTAAAATTTGGTTAGTGGCTTATTAATGTATATTTTTATAAGTAACTCGTTGGAATATTTTTGGGCAAAAAGCCTACAAAGAATTAACAGCAACACATGAGAAAGTCACATACTACACACCTATATAAATATATATAATTTTTTTGGCATGTTCTTTAAAAAGACAGTCAAGCTCTCTAGCTAAATGTGAGGCGATCTCATTTAGGCAAAAATCTCTATCATAAAGTTAATATGACATTACCAAGTCCACTTGAGTGCAATGGTGTTAGATCACGATTTATCAAATATACATACTGCTGAGCTATGAGGGAACATTCAAAGGAATCTGAAGGAAAAAAAGAATATATATGTCCAATAATTTCTCTTGGAGTTTGGAACCTGGCAAATAAATTTCCCTTTTAGAATGCAGAGGACCATTTTAAGGAGATTTATAGGATTAAAAGTTTCTTACTCAGGTAGAAGAAGTTTCCAGGAAGAGAATTTTCATTCAAGTTGTTATAAGTCAAATCAAGGACCTCCAGAGCCGGAAGCGATCCAAATCCTCGAGGCAGAGTGTTTAGTCTATTCATGCTGTTGTTGGGGGTAAAAACATAAGATGTCACACACAAAACATGCACGTATATGGACTGCTCAGATCACCTCTGTGTGCAGAGTCCCAGAGTCAGCTGTGAGGGTCTCAAAGCGGAAAACCCAGCCATAATCCCATTCAGTTTATGTTATTTTTACCAGCCTAGTAATTCTAAACAGGTGATTTCCAAGTCCATGAAACATCTGAAAATGCCTTAGCTATCACTTTTTCCAATGGTGGTGTTCCAACACTGTTTTACACAGAAAACAAACACATCACAAAGTATCTGTCCTTCTAGAGAAAAACTTCTTTATAAGTGTAGCAATGATAAGACCTCAGAAGATATATGTGAAGTCTCATAGTTTTCAGACTTCTGTTTTATTTGATTTTGCTTATTCCTCCCAATGGGAGACCAAAAAAAAAAAGAAAAATAACTTTTTTTTGTTTTGTTTTGCAACTACTGATAGTAGTTCAGTACCATCTCCAATCATAATCAAGTTTGCCAGGGACCGGGGGTAGGGTGGGAGGAGGAGAATGGGGAATTGTTTAATGGGTATAGAGTTTTAGTATGGCAAGACAAGAACCTTCTAGAGATAGGCTGCAAAACAATGGGAATACACTTAATGCTTCTGAATCACAGAAACATAAATATGGTATACTTGACATTATGCGTATTGTATACCACAATTGAAAAAATTTTAATATATATGTAAAGAGTGAAAGTGTTAGTTGCTCAGTCATGTCCGACTCTTCGTGACCTCATGGCTGAGGCTCCTCTGTCCCTGGGATTCTCCAAGCGAGAATACTGGAGTGGGTTGCCATTCCCTTCTCCAGGGGATCTTCCCGACCCAGAGATGGAACCTGGGTCTCTCGCATCACAGGTGGATTCTTTAACATCTGAGCCACCAGAGAAGCCCTTAAATACATACAAACACACGCATTTCCAATGAAAGCTAAGGAAAGCTAAGAAACACATTTTTCTATTATGTTCCATTTGTAAGACTCTTATTTTTCTTAATGTTATTCCCTTTCAATACACTTAAAATATGATTAAAAAAATTTTTAATAATATAGAATGACACATACTGAAAGGGGGGGAGGGGCACTGTGCCACCAAACATAAATCTAGACACCAATCCTTTTCACATAACACACAATCCTATTCAAACCCACCAACCAGGCCTCGTAGGAAACAGCTGAGAGCAGAGAGAAACCCAGGAAAAAAGTGATGCCCACCTCTGGATGGGTATGAAATCTTAGGTTAACTTCACAGTTAGCAAATTAACCTCCAGTAGAGTTTGCTAAATTGCTGCTGCAGCTGTGCTGTGCCCAGGCGTGTCCAGCTCTTTGCAATCCCGTGGACTGGAGCCCACCAGGCTCCTCTGTCTATGGGATTTCACAGAGAAGATTACTGGAGTGGGTTGCCATTTCCTTCTCCAGGGGATCTTCCCAGCCCAGGGATTGAATCTGCATCTCTTACATGTCCTGCATTGGCAGGTGGGTTTTTTTTTTTGTTTTGTTTTTACTACTGTACCACCGGGGAAGCCCTAATAACTGATATTTTCTGTGAATTCACAATTTGTGAAGCACACCACTGTCAAGTGTTTCATGGGGTCTCCAAAACTGAAATGCAGGCAGGACAGTACTTATAATGATCTCTGGAACGTGGCAATGGAAGGTCAGGTTAACGCAGGTTTAGCACCAAGGACCTCTGACTCTCCTGATGAGAATGACAGGTATCTAAGAGCCCCCAGCCCCAAGGCACCCCTGATTCCTGGACCCCCACGTGAGGATGCTAAGTAAACTGAAGGAAAGAAATCAGAGACAAAGAGAAAGGCACAGAAGTATACAGCAAGCGCTTCCTTCCTTAAATCTTGCTCTGAGTTACCCATTTTTGAAAATGACCAATAAAATTTTTCTTTCTAAACCCAGAAGTACACTTTTGAAACATAAGGTGCAAGAAATCCACTTTCAGACTTTCTTCGTGGGAAGGGGCATCTCACCAAAAAGACAGATCTCGTCCACTCTCCAGCCTACAGCAAGCCCGAGCCAGTCCACCTGTGCATGTCAAGAATCTACAACACTGCAGGTTCTTTTTATTCCCTGAGCAAGAAACCAAGGTGTTAGGGACTCAGCAGAGTCCTCAGCAGTCAGCAGTGGTGACAGCACTGGGCCTGCTAATCCAGAGGGCAGAAAGAAAGCCCTAACTTAAAGCACCAGGAAGGTCTGAAAGCAGGGTCGACTCAGCTACCACCAGTATCAGGAGCCACAGGACCTGTTCCTCTGGACACCAGCAGACGAAGGGCTGGCTCCCCGGTACTGACAGGTGTCATGTGCTGCCTTCCCCTGCAAGGCTCATCAACATCCATCTCCATCACACGTGGGGGCTGCCTCTTTTCAGGGCATCCCCTGAGAGCTCCAGCACGCAAGGATGCCCAGAGAGGATAGAACAGAGCTAGGGTGGAGGTCTAGCTCCAGCGCTCGCTGACTGGGTGGCCTTGGGTAACTCAGCTTCTCTGAGACCCGATTTCCTCAACTGTAAGATGAATGCTGTAACTGATGCTGAACCTGAAGTTCCAATACTGTGACCACCAGATGCAAAGAACTGACTCATTGAGTAAAGACCCTGATCCTGTGATGGACTGAAGGCAGGAGGAGAAGGGGACGACAGAGGATGAGATGGCTGGATGGTATCACTGACTCGATAGACATGAGTTTGAGTAAACTCCGGGAGTTAGTTGGTGATGGACAGGGAGGCCTGGCGTGCTGCAGTCCATGCGGTTGCAAACAGTCAGACACGACTGAGTGACTGAACTGAACTGAAGATGAGGACAGCGATACCTTCCCAGAAGGACCACTAGAAAGTGGAGAGAGAAGACATGGGAAGCCCCTGAAACAATTTCTGGCTCCTAGGTAGGTTCTCAAGGAATGATGGCTGTAACTACAACTGCTTTTCAGGAAGCTGGAGAGAGATTCTAACTAAGCCTCAAAGAGATGAGCTTGCCTAAGGAGACCATTGTGAAGTCTGAACCATCAAGGATGGCTTCCTCATCTACTTACTCTCCAAGCAATTCAGGTGTTAGAAGATAAAGCTACCGATGACTCAACCATGACCAATGGTTTAAGTTCTGTTTGCAGGTGAATGTTTTTCAAATGCATATGGAATGTGAAGATGCCCACATATGATGGAGAACTTGATAAAACCAGAGTCAAAGGATGTCTGGCATTTTCCCCCGTTTTCCTCTTCAAAAGCTACAGGAAGGCCCATTTGAACACTTCTCTTTTGGAACTGATCTCCAGAGGTCCTCTTGGGGGAGCAGATTTTTTTCTCACCTCCCCAGCTACTTGCTCATACACTTAGCAAAACAAAACAAAAACAAAAACCATGAACAGTCAACACTGTGCTCAGTGAAAACTTCTAAATCTTCATAAGATAAGCTCCTTCATCTAACTAGGTCAAAACGTCAAAAGTTATTCCAGGAAAAACAAACAAACAAAAAAGTTATTCTAGGAACTTCCCTGGTGGTCCAGTGGTTAAGACTCCGTGCTTCCAAAGAAGGGGGCTGGGGCTCGATTTCTGGTCAGGAAATGAAGATCCCACATGCCAAGCAACATAGCAAAAAAAAAGTTATCCCAGAATAGTTGGCATGATGCTCTTGCCATGAGGTTATACCCAAAATAATTACCAACTTGTAACCTATGTGACTTTACACCTTTTTAATAAAATAAAAATAACTCTGCACAGTGAATGACACAATGGAAGAATGAAGGGCATCATTCCGCTTCCTTCTATTTATTCAGATGGTCTAAAATCCTCTCTGGTTTTGGGATAATCAGAATAAATAGCAAATTGGATATAAAACTTCAAAATCAACTTCCGGCTGAACATGAAGCTTGGATTACATGTGGCCAAACTGCTTTGCTGTATTTTTTTTTTTTGTCTGTTTATTCTGAGTCCTTCTCTAAGCCTTGCCTTAACCAGGGCTGCACAGATACAATTCTTCATGCCATTTGAGGAAAAAAGTACCATTTACAGAAACCTATCTTAATCCCTCTCCCAGAGAACTAGGAACTGGGTTCAAACTCTGACAACCCCATCCATGCAGCTAGGTAATTAAATCCAGAGAGTGTCACACAATAAATAAATCAGCAAGAGCCAAAAATGCAAACAGCTCCAAAGTCGACAAAGAGGCAACTCAAAAGTGTTTGATGAAAAAGGAAAGTTTACAACTCTGTCCTGAAGCACCTTGAACTCAACCGAACAAAACCTAGGCCTCTTCCCGCCTCCCCAAAGCTGTCTCTATACATCTATTCAGCTCCACCGTCCCATCCGTACCGCCTCATGAATTTTACCACTTGTATCTGCTTTGCATATAAAATCCCTCCCCACCTTCACTGTTCCTACCCTGGTTCACCAAGAACGCTAACCTGGTGGGTTTCGTCCATCTGTACCGCCTCATGAATTTTACCACTTGTTTCTGCTTTTCATATAAAATCCCTTCCCACCTTCACTGTTCCTACCCTGGTTCACCAGGAACGCTAACCTGGTGGGTTTCATCCATCCGTACCGCCTCATGAATTTTACCACTTGTTTCTGCTTTTCATATAAAATCCCTCCCCAGCTTCACTGTTCTTACCCTGGTTCACCAGGAACGTTAACCTGGTGGGTTTCGTCCATCTGTACCGCCTCATGAATTTTACCACTTGTTTCTGCTTTTCATATAAAACCCCTCCCCACCTTCACTGTTCCTACCCTGGTTCACCAGGAACGCTAACCTGGTGGGTTTCGTCCAACTTCTCCTCCACGTGATCTTTCATCTTACCTGCCACTTCCCGGTGACAGCTCCCCAAAGGTCATCAGGTTAAGACCAGAGCTCCTTTATCTGACACACAAGGCCCTTCATTAGCACTCGACTCCCTGCTACAATGGACATTTACTTACTTACAGGCTGTTTCCCCAACTGTGATACAGGTTCCCTGAGGGCTGGATGGCCAGCGCCTGAACAGAGAGCCCAAGAAACACTCATCGAATGCACAGCAGACTCCGTGCTTCTCTGCCTGCCCTCCTGCCGCCTTACACTTTCCACTCAGGACACCATGAAACTTGCAGCACCTGGAGCAGGTGGTGCTCCGAGCTTTCTATCTTTTGTTAGTTTATTTTAATTGGAAGATAATTGCTTTACAAGGCTGTGCTGGTTTCTGCCATACATCAACACGAATCAGTCGTAACTAAACATATGTCCACTCCCTCTCGAGCCTCCCTTCCACGCCAGCCCCTATTCCACCCTCTAGATCATCACAGGGCATGGAGCCGAGTTCCCTGTGTAATACAGCAGCTTCCCACTAGCTCCCTATTTCACATGCTACTTTCTCAATTCGTCCCACCCTCTCCTTCCACAAGTCCGTTCTCTATGTTGGTGTCTCTATTCTTGCTCTCCAAATAGATTCATCAATACCATTTTTCTAGGTTCCATATATATGTTAATACATATTTTTCTCTTTCTGACTTATAACAGACTCTAGGTTCATCCACCTCAGTAAAACTGATTCACATTTGTTCCTTTTTATGGCTGAGTAATATTCCATTGTATGCACAGACTGAGCTTTTAAATAAGTCCTTGTCACAATCAGAGGTGTTGCCATCTACCTGTCTGTCATCTCAGTATCAGAGTCTCAGCTCTAATGCGACCCCTTGTAGAAATCTTTCCAAGAACCTCATCTATAGGCCAACATGCTCCTGGCCCCTTTCTCCCAGTGTCACCTCACAATCTCCCACAGGTCAGCGAGCCAGCTGCACACTTCCCTACTGACAGCTGCTCTGCCCCCATCCTTAAGGCTGCGACATTCATCACTGATCTTCAAACGAGCAAGGCTCTCATGTAGAAAAGGCACTTACATAGTCCCAAGATGAATGAATCTATAAACAAAACAATGATGACGATAAATGTGCCAGATACAACGCCTAGCACCATTTTTTTAGGTGAAAGAATGTTTATTCAGAGAGATATGTACTCCACAGACAAGAGTGTGGGCCATGCATCTCAGAAGTCAAGAGGCACGAGGGTACGGGGTTATCAGTTTTCATTGGGGTGGTTAATTTCATACACCAATGAATGGGAGGATTATCCCAACTATTTTGGGTAAGGGGCATGGATTTCCAGAACTGGGCCACCACCCACTTTTTGACCTTTTATGGTCCACCTAGGAACTATCATGGTACCTATGTGTGTGTCATTTATATGATGTGTTAAAATGAGCGCGTACTGAGGCTCCAGGTCTAATGAAAGTCAACTTGTCTGCCATCTCGGACCCAGATGGTTCTCTTGTACTTTATATGTATCAACTCACTTAGTAAATAATGAAGAATTTAATAGTAAGAATACATGTCTAGTACTGGGTTGGCAGAAAAGTTCATTTGGGCCAACCCATTATATACGTCTTGTTTTAGCTTCCTTCTTAAATGCAAATGAAATATTAGGACTTAATCTTTCAAAACAGAGATATAAACGAGGAGCCTTTCTTTTCTGGTTTGCCAGATGGGTACAGTCTCCATATTTATAAGAGAAAACTGTCTGATATCAGGTGACTTTTCCCCTCTTCTAAACCCTACTTCCTCTCAGACACCGAGAAAAGAATGCTCACAGGTCTTACAAAGACGGTCTCTCAATTGGAGTGAACAGCAAATGAAGAGAGTCTGACCAGATTTCCGGCAGAAAACCATGAACTAAAAATCAGTCCATGAATGATTTTTTTTTCCCACGATTGCTTCCTAGTAAATTGACAAATACCTGGCCAGCATCTATAGCCACTCCATGTAAATCACTAGCTGAATCACAGTGTTTATGGCTAAAATTTAATGATATATTACTTTACATGGAGGATGAGGCTTGGAGCAGGCAGTTTCCTATAATAGCTCAACAATGAAGCTGGAATTCGGAAGTCCAAGTTCTGGGGGGGGAGGCGTATGGTGTCTCAGGGACAGTGGGGTTCTCTGCTCAGCCACTAACCTGAGGGCCAATCAGGAGCAAGCCACTTAACCTCTTGAAAAAGGCTTGGCTTCCTTCCACACAAAGAAATCCCTAATGCCTGCCCTTCCCCATTCCCAATTGCTAAGAGGGTCAAACACTGGTGTGAGGACTCTGAAAACTGCAACTAAGAACACAAAGTTTTACTATTATTCACTGCAACCTGGTTCTGTAACCTCGGCTGAATCAAAACTCCTCTCTTCACCTTTGTATAAAGACAGATACAGGATTGATAACTTCTCAAAAATAAAAAGGAAAAATTGTTAAGAATCAATGAAGTAGTGTTAGGAAGCATATCCTCCCCTCCATAGAAGGAAGGTGCTTTGGACACTATTTTCTACTCAATACAGAGAGAAAAAAAAATCAACCATATTACAACTGGCCTGTACAGTTCAAGCTAGCTATGCAAATGGGTTCCTTCTCGGGCAACATAACGGAAACAAAATTTTATTGGAAACAAAATACAGTAAAAATAAACTCCCTTATTACACCAACAATTAGCTTCTCAATTAGCACACAGATAGATTTGCGCTAATGTAGGCCATTGAAAGGATGTATTAAAACAATAAAACTTTTTAAAAAACCTAAAACATGGGGAAAAAATTAGAGATCTGCTGCTCCTGTAAATGGCAAAACCCTCCCTCGCTCCCACCCGCATCCCAGCTTCCAGCTCCTCCTCTTCTTGTTTTCTTCTCCCTCCAGGAGACTCACCCCAGGTTCAGGTGTTTGAGTTTCTGAAGACTGCTGATCTGTGTGGGCAGCTCCTCAATCTGGTTATTAAAAAAGTTAAGCACTTCCAGATTCTTCAGTTCTGCTATGTTTGGTGGCACAGCTGTGGAAACAGAAACGCTGAGTGTGAATGCAGGAACCTTGCCCCTGGCAGCAAATGCCAGCGACACATTTTGCTTTCCTTTCAAATGAGAAGATGATGAAACTCCAGCACAATCACTTTATTCACACACACACACACACACATATATATATATCTTACTTAATTTCTGTAGGTAGTTTCTTAGGTAGTAGCTTACCACTGAGTTCACATGGAAATGTTTCCTCAAAGGACAGAAGAGAAAAGCTGTGCCATGGACAGTCTCTAAGCGAACATTACAGAACATTCTATACTTCTTGAAATTTTTTTTCCTTCCAGTTTTATTGAGATATAATCAACATACAGCTCTATGTAATCAACATACAGCTCTATGTAAGTTTCAGGTGTACACCCTAAGTATTTGACTTACATCATCATTATCACAATAAGGTTAGTGAACATCTATCATCTCATAAAAATACAAAAGAAATGTTTTTCCTTGTGATGAGAACTCTTAGCATTTACTCTTCTAGATGTAAAATTATATTTTTTAAAATCATGTAATGTCTACCGAGTCCAGTTGTTTTCTTCCTTCTACTTCTCTCATATCTCCAAAATAAAGTCAGCAAAGTCCAAAATCCCTTCCCAAGTAATGTATCATCAAACTGTTTAAATAATCTGCTATCTGAAGAGCTGTTCTCCTAACACTTGACTAAATCAAGATGATGTGATGATGTTTAAATTCAATCTTACATGATAAAACAGTCAACCTACCAAGTTTCTGATTTTTGCCTTTGCATCTCAATCAACACACACACACACACACACACACACACACACACCCCTTCTATCAGATTAGCAACAGATCACCGCATTGTTATTATTCAGGCATACGAAAAATCAGTTCAGTAGCAAGTAGCAAGCCGGTGGACATGAGTGTGCATATCAAAGGTTAAAGAAAGTGACTGGGGAGCTGAAAGCATTCCCCTTCCCTGCAGTATATACTTGCAAATACAAATTTAAAAGCCAAAGGCATCTTTACCACAAAAATATTAAGTCTCACTTGGCAGCAGCAGGACATTCAATGTATTGTACTTCATGTATCTCATCTGCTGATTCAGTCTCTCCACAAACATTAGTTACTGGCCACCAGCTCATTCACAGTTCGTGTAAGCTCTTAATACCAAAATATTCAGGTAACTAAAATTATGGACAAGGGTCTTGGGTACCACAGAAAAAACTGTTAGGTCTTCTGTTAGTGCATTTTCTTCCCATCTCAACATCCTCCTCCAGGGGTTCCCCAGAAAACTGGAGAAACCTGGGGACAATGTTGCTGAAAATCAAGGCCAAGGTGTGTGTAACATTCCAGACAGACATCCCAGGTTTTTTGTTTGGTTTCTTAATTTACTTGGCTGCACCAGGTCTTAGTTGCAACATGCAGGATCTTTAGTTGCAGCTTGTGCGATCTAGTCCCCCAACCAGGGATCAAACTTGGGAAACCTGCAATGGGAGTGTGGAGTCTTAGCCACTGGACCGCCAGGAAAGTCCCCAGACACCTGAGATATATAAGAAGACAGCCATACCAAGAACCCCAGCGAAAATTCCCAGGGGAACAGAAGTAAGGTGGCAGGCACAGAGCTCATTACAGCTGAGTCATCATTTTCAGCTTTATAAAATGTCTAAGGTATCAATGACCTGATTACTTTTAGAGGCTTGGTACAAGTTCAGAGACACACATTTGCTAGAGGAAGGGACTGTGGAGAAGAGGAATTAGTCTGAATGAAGACAGCTGGGAAGAGGTAGTGGTCCAGATGGAAAATGAGCAAGGCGTGGATGAGTTGGTTACTGAAGAGGCTGGTTGTGGGGATGGCGATAAAAAGGTAGGCTTTAATGGGATCATTGAGGCAACTGGGAACTCCTCCAGCACCTCACTCCCCAGTGCCAAGAGGAATGCAGACAAGCCCTAACTGTAGGATCTGGCTACAAAAGCACATGTTTAGGTGTGTCCTCCGTAACATACTTTTCAGGAATGGATCGTATTCACTTTGCATAAATGACCACAAGGAAATTCATCAGACTGTGCCTGCTGGATTTAGAGGTGTTCATTTATTTGTTCTCTCTACCTGGACCCTGAAGTGTGTCAAGTGCGAATCAACAGAGGACTACAGCCCTGCTCAGAGACCTCACTCTTTCCCCGTTCACCCTCCAGCTACCACTAAGCTTCTCTCCCTGCATTCATCTGATTAGCTCGAAGAGCAATAAAGAAAGTTAGGGCAACCAGGAGAAAATGATGATCTCAATTTAACCACAAACCAAGAATAATGCAGCCAGAATTACTGCCGCTTTCCCGAAGTTACTTTGCCAATGCAATTAAATGCTGGTCCAAAGGTATCGCCTTTTTTGACAGGATGAGAGATTATTTCACTCTCCTTGCTAAATCAGTCCAATTTAAAACCACACATTATGCTAAATGTGATTTAGGGCTTTGTTCTGTGGACACAAACAATAACCCCACATTCAATTTAGCCAGCCTCTCCCAGATTTTTGGTGCACATGTGAATCGTTTGCTAAAGACTCCATTCAAACAAGAAGGGGAAAAAAGATTTTACAGCTACAGCTAATATTCTTCCTAAACTATAGAATCCTACCACCCCCCACCACCACCACACCCACTGTAGTTAAAAGCAAAGGAAATTAACCTTCAGACCTATCTGGATGGGATGACATTCACGCTTTCAACCAGCATTTAGAGAATGCTTATTTTGTGCACAGAAGCATAAACTTACAGCACTGAACATTTCAATACTTTTGGGATAAAGTAAGAGAGGCAGACTATTTAAAGAAAATAAGTCACAGGACCTGTCTGGTGGTCCAATGGGTAAGAATCTGCCTTGCAATTCAGGGGATGCAGGTTTGATCCCTGGACAGGGAACTAAGATCTCACATGCCACCCACGCGCTGCAACTACAGTTCATGAGCCGCAACCCAAAAAGATCTCACATGATTGATGCAACGAAGATCCCAGGCAGCTAAATAAATACTTTTAAAAAGAGAGAGAGAAAATTTTTAATTTAAAAAAATAAAAGAAAGTTGCAAAAAGGTGGATGATCAGAGTCGATCACCAGAGACAGGTCTGGTGGCTGGAAAGCAAACTGATCTCAACAAAACTGTCCATAAAAAAAAAAAAATAATAACCAGTTAACAATATGAGTAACAGTTGTGCAGTGGCTAAATCATGTACATAGATCCATGAACAATATACGAAAATCTATAATGAAAAGGGAGCAGCAACGTGTCACTGGTCAGAATATTCTGTTGGAATTCTCAAGGCACACCAGCAAGAAGCAACATTTTAAAACATAACTAAGCAGTGAGCATCAATATATTTCTTATTATGCATCTGAAATGTTCTTTCTCCATCCAGCTGTCCAGTTTCTGACCCCTCTCTACCCCCGCCAGTGGTTCACACCGAAGTCTACAGACAACAAGGAGTCGAGGAGAAGAAAAAGAGAGGTTGTGTGATGCAAGAACCCAGGAGGCCTGGCTCACTCATCTTGGGCTAGCTCTGCACTTTCTTGACCAGCTCTGAACTCGGTGTGTGTCCTTAACTCATAACCTCTCCGGGCCTCCATTCCCTTCAGTCTAAATTAAGAAGGCTGGATTATGACCATTTCTCCATTCCCTTCCACCCAGCTGTAGTATTCTGTGATTCTGAGAAGAGCTGATTGCAAAAATCAATGATATGGATTTAAATAATGCAAGATATGGGGCCCTCAATTAGGCAGCTCAGTCATGTAGAACTTTGCCTGTGACAGAGAATTTAGTATCGTTTGCTGTCTAACTAGTATCGTGAGCTGCCTCAATTCTGAGACTTCAGTTGCTAGAGAAACTCACAGGGGTGCTCAGGCTCCTGCATGCCACACGACTGGCTCTGGTTTCAGGAACGGAGAATGCTGGGGGCGCTCTTGGCCCAGAGCTTCTGCTGTGTTTTGGAAAAGGGGAAAAAGATGGGGTCATTCATGCCAGGAACTCTGCCCAGAGGCTCATCTCGGAGCATCTTCTGGCATTTCTAATTATTCAAGCTAACAAGCTCAGGAAGACCCTCTTTTCCTTCAAATCCTCTTCAATCTAATGAACTAAAAATTGTTCCAGAGGTTTGTAAGCCACCAGCCCCTGGATGGTTCTAGGACAAGAAACCAAAAGTGCCTGGGGACACTCAAGAAGGAAGCAAGACAAAAAGGGTCTCACCTGATCTCCATGAACATCTCTTTACAAAGCCCCCTAGGGCAGGAAGTGCTGGACGGACAGCTCCAACTCTTAGAACCCACTGGCCAGCTTCAGTCCTGAATGACAACCTGACTCCTAAGAGGACATGTATCTGTCCACGTGAGTTACACATACAACAGGCATAGACACCAGCAATGCATAGATGATGACGCGTGTTCACAAAATCAGTGTTACACTCAGGAACATGCTTTCCCCACTAGCTAACAACAGCTTACCCTCTCTCCAACGTCAGACCCTAAATCAACTACTATTGTAGCAACTGGAACTTCACTCTAAGAGCAATTTTCTTCCAGGATAAAATTAACCATTGTACAATCAATAACTTATTTTCTTGAAGGCTTTCAGGAGTTTATTCACACAATAATAAATGGCAGGAGATGCTGTGGGGCTGGGCGGGCGAGTATGCAGTCACTAGTTAGTGTGGCTCCTTAAGCCTAGAGTGGGATGTAAGTTGGTGCAGCATCTATGGAAAAGTGTGGAGGTTCCTCAAGAAATTAGAAATAGAACAATCATATGACCCAGCAGTTCCACTTCTAGGCCTTTAATTGAAGGAAACAAAGTCATTATGTCAAAGCGGTACCTAAACCCTCAAGTTCACAGCAGCATTATTCACAAGAGCCAAGATATGGGAACAACCTAGGTGTCTGTTGACAGATGAATTAAGAAAATGTGATACATACACACTCATTCTCTCTCTCTCTCTCACACACACACACACACAAATACAATTTGGCCAT